AAGAATTGCATTTACAACTGTGTGAGTATTACTACGCAGCACAGCCGTACCGATCAGGCGGATGTTCATTTTGCCTGAGATTCCTAGGCCTAACCCGTGGGATATGTGGAGCATTGTCGCAATTAGGTTGAACGTCGTCTGTGGGAGCAGTGTAAACCACCCGCTCCCCCAAGTTCTGGAGCAGGACAAACAACATTGCCGCCATTCACGGGAGCATAGCCACGCTTTAGCCGATCATGATGAACCACCGTAATCTTACCTTTGCTCGACCTTATTTTGTAATCAACACCCATCCTACAAACAATTTCAAATGGCCCAATCCACTTCGCCCCCATTTTCCATCCTTTCGGTCTGCGCAGGTATGCTGTTTCCCCTGGGGCGAAAGGGCTTCATGTCCGAATTCTTTCTTCGTTACATTTTCTCTGTTTTGTTCTTGCTTTCTCTAAATTCTGCCTTGCTGTTATTATTATTATTATTGATCTTTAAACACGGTAACCTTTCACATAGGTGATTTTCAAAGGGCCCTACGGACTGATAAATGCATTATAAAAGAAAGAACTAATAAACTAAATTATACTTATTTACAAAATATACTTATTTACTTATTTACTTATTTACAAGATGTAATTATTTAATATTTAATGGACAGATTTTAAACTTGTTGATTCTCTTAGGGTTTTCAACAAGTTTACTGGATGTTGTTCCAATACGCTGCTCCTCTGTACGAAAAGCTATTTTTCAAGAAATTCGTTTTTGGTTTAGGTTGAGACAGCTTTAAATTACTACTGCGCAGTAAGTAACCATTGTTTGCACAAGTGTAAAATAGCTGTGTTACGTATTCTGGAAGCATGCCATTTATCGCATAAAATGTTATAAGGAGATCTCGCTTTTTCAAAATTAAGTCAAGAGGTTTCCAGCTAAGTTTTTGAAAAATGTCCGAAGATCTTATAGTATAGTCCGAATGTGTTATTATTCTTGCTGCTCGTTTCTGAAGCTTATATAATTTGTCTAAGTGTGTTTGGTTGTTATTTTGCCAAACAGTTGAACAGTAGTTAAAATGAGGCGCGACTAATGCGTTATACATAATTTTGAGCGTATCTAGGCCAACAAAATCTTTGGCTTTTCTTAAAAGATTAATATTTTTTGATATCTTGTTGCATTGTCCTTCATTTTGCCTATTCCAGCTAAGTCTATCGTCCATAGCTATACGCAAAGCTTCCTTTTTATAAACTCGTTCAATTTGATGTCCGTTTATACTGAGTTTTGGACGTGATCTAAGTTTTTCAATCGTTGCCGAGATCCAATAATCATATATTTGGTTTTTTCGTTGTTTAATGTTAGTTTATTCGCTGATAACCATTTTTGGGCATTTACTAGGTCTTTGTTAAGTTGGTATTCAATATCTATGGATAAATGCCCTTGACATGATAAAATTGTGTCATCAGCAAATAAATTAGAGTGTGTTTTTTCTAGGCAGTTTGGGAGGTCGTTTATGTAAATAAGAAATAATAGAGGTCCAACATTTGAACCCTGAGGTACTCCACAACGAATTGTTTCAACATCAGATTTACAGTTATTTAGCATGCAAATTTGCGTTCTTTGATCTAAATACGATTGGAACCATTTGAGCGTGTGGTTGCGTATCCCATAAGCTTGTAGTTTTGACAATAGAATCTGGTGATCAATAGTATCAAATGCTTTTTTTCAGGTCTAAGAAAATAACCCCATTTATTTGACCCTGGTCCATTGATTTCGACCACATTTCAGTAGATTGTAGTAACGAGGTTTCGGTTGAGTGTTTGCGACGGAAACCTGATTGATTTTTTACAATTATGTTGTTGTTATCCAGGAAGGTATTTAGTTGTCTACCGACTAATTTCTCAAATATTTTGGCGATATTCGAAATGACTGATATCAGTCTATAGTTTTCACATAAGGTTTTGTTTTCTGACTTATATATTGGAGTCACTTTGGCAAATTTCCAATCATCTGGAAATATTCCTGTCCTAAGAGATAGGTTAAACACTTCTAGGCCTGTTTTATTAGCTTGGTTGAGGTCTTATCTAGACCTGTAGATTTTGCCATTTGTATATTTTGTATTTCTCTTTTCAGCTCATAGCTTGATATGCTATGAAAGTGAAATACATTTGTGACTTGGTCTATATATGACAAACGATCAGGACTACAGCCATTGTCAGCAATGTTATTTGCTAATTTGGGACCTATAGAAGTGAAGAATTTATTAAACTCGTCGATTATATCTTTATATTGTGTTACATTTTTTCCATGGTCTACGCTAAGTTCATTAACTATTGTGGTTTTGGATTTCCTGTTAAGCAAATTATTTAATGTATTCCAACCTTCTTTACTATTTTTACTGTTTTGTAGTTTAGTGTTGTAAAATTGAACCTTAGTTGCTTTTATTCTTTTGTTAAGTTCATTCGTGGTAATTAGAAGAGTTAAATTTGACTGCTTTTTGTTTCAAGTAGAATTTATGATGCGCAAGGTTTTTTATTTCGTTTGTCATCCAAGGACATTGCTCACTTTTGACTTTCCGAATCCGAAGTGGAGCATGCATATTTGCAATATCAACAAAAATAGTTTTCCATACCTCCCACGCATGATTTGGGTCGGCATAATTATAGAAGGTTGTAGTGTCTTTGGAAAGCCATTTTTAAGTCGTATTGAAATGCAGATGAATTAAAGTATTTAAACAGCCTTGTTTCTACAATTTTTGGTTCGGCCCTTGGTATTCCTACTTTGCGGCAAATGTACACTAAACTGTGATCACTCAGTCCTAAATGTATCACTCCAGAGACTATAATTTTGGTATCGCTTGCTTTAGTCATTATTATGTCAATTAATGTTTTAGATGTTGTCATTATTCTTGTCGGACTTGTAATGTGTTGCTTTAGCTGAAACTCGTTTATCAGATCGGATAACCTTTTTGTATGATGAGTGGGACTGTTTGCCATCATATCGCAATTTAGGTTGCCAGTGAAAATAATATCAATATTTGTATCATCTAGTTTTCGCAGTAAGGTTTCGAAGTCGTTTAATATGCTAGTGTTAGAATTTGGTGGACGAACCATGTAACAATTAAGAGTGGTTTTGACTTAGGTTTTTGAATTTCGAGACAAATAGATTCTAAGTTGTCTGGAATGAATTCGATATGGTTTTTATAACTAATGATACTTCTTATATAAATTGCTACACCGCCACCATTTCGATCTCGGTCTCGTCTTACAATATCATAACCTGGTATCTTAATAATATTGTCGTTTATTGTATTGTCTAGTCTAGTTTCGTTTATGCAAAGAATGTCGAATGCATGATATTTCCTTCATGAATAATTTAAGCTCATCCACGTGTTTCGGCAAACTAGTTATGTTTAAGTGGCCAATTTTAAAACCCTTTAGTTTTGGATAAGACTTATTAATTTGGAAAGGAATTTTTGGGCTTTTCGAGGTGCAGCGTGCTGGACTATCAGAAATAACTTTGCCGTCGATTATATTATTATCGCTGTGTCTTATGTCATTATTATTGTCGTTACCTTGTCAATTCCTCTTAAGAAATTGCTTCATGTTTTTTGCTAAGACTGATGTACCCTGCTTATTTAAGTGCAGTCCGTAGTTATTTAAATGGTTTACGTCAATATTATTGTGCCTGATAAGACACCAATTTCGTTCTATACATAGTTGGGCTAACCCTTGTTATTTTCGTTTACCTTATCAGCCAATGTTTTATCGTCATTTCTTGTTATGATTTCTGATAAAACTACTGTAATTCTATATTCCTGTTTTCTCGAGTAATGCTCTCTCCAAGCTTTTGTACATGTGTCAACAATTCATCTGGCATCATTCTTTGTAGATCATTGGTTCCGACGTGTAAAATAAGCTTATTTGGTGCCGTGAATAACGTTGGTTTTACATAGAGATTCATTTGTTTTATTCCCGCACCAGGAAATGTTTTTACAACAATTTTATGCTTCATTCCTTGTTGAACTCGTCTCGCGTTTATTTGTTTAAGCATAGAATCGCCCAAAATAGCAACTCTTGATTGTCCTAGCTACGCGCGGAGATCTGCGAGAATCTTGGGCTCGCTCGTTGTTGTTGTTATTTCGGTCGTTGTCTGCTTGTTGTTTTCTAGGCGCAGAATATATAGTTACGTCTTTTGTCTTCATTGGACCTGATGGTGTGTCTGGGTGGTTCAGATTGATTTCTATTCTTAGGTAATTGAGTTTGAGATAATATGTTAATCTCGTCGTCACTTTCATCAACCAAAACAGAATATTGATTATCTGTCTTGGCTAGTCCATTGTGACTATTTTCCCCAGAGTTTTGTCCACGTTGTGTGCTTTCATTCTGATTTGGCTTACGATTTTTAACAACATTCCATGACCATGTACTTTGTTTATTTGTATGGCAATCATTTTGTACAATTTTGATTGCTGTTATCATAGGCGTACGGGAAGGGGGGGGGGGGGGGCGGCAGCCCCCCCCCCCAAAGTTTGGGAAAGGTCGATTTTTTGGGCACGCAAGGAAAATTTGGGCAAGCGTTTGTGGCTTGACTTATTTTTGTTATTGTATAAAATTTATTAATTGACAATAACTTACGTTCTCCTATCTTTGGTTTATTGCACAATCGATCAGTCGATCTAGTCGATCACTGGTTACTGAATCAAAACCATTGTCAGAAAACTTCGCTCACTGTCATCGGCCACTCATAGCGGCCATATTGAAAATTCGGAAGTACAAACATTGTCAAAAATATCGAGATAAAATGAGATCGTGCTTTTTGTGCCTATTTTAGCGGCAATCAAAAATAAACACGTCGCTGTATGTAGCTTGTGGCGTTTTTGGTAGCAAGTTTACTCCATTTTTTTTGCAAATTTAAATTTGGGATGCAAGAGACTTAAAATGGTTACTTAATGGGTGTAATAAAATTTAACGGCTTCGATTGATAACAACAAACTGAACTTGATCATGATAATGTGACAAATGTCCGAACAGAAACCCGTTAAGCGAAAACGTGCCTATCGTTATCGTGTGGTCTGCTCAGTTTGCCAAAAAGAAATTGTGGCCGAATATCAGGATGTCCACGCCAAAACTAAACACAAGGGAAAGAAGGTAAAATTCACCGTTGCAGTTGATGCTAAGCAAGCTAAACTTTGTTTTGCTACCGCTGGCGAGACAGTGGCCATTACAACCAAAAGAAAGAAAAGCGATGGCGATACAGATAGAGTGGATAATGACGCCGAGGGAAGTGAAAATGACTGTCAAACTACTTTAAAATGTGTCAATGAAACCGTTTCAAGCGCAGAAAATATTGAGGGAAGAGATGCTGAACTTACCGAGTCCTCCGTCTCCAGTATAACCGTTGCAGTCTCAGTACATAACAATGACGTCGTGCCAGTTCGAGAATTATCGCAAAATGATCCGACCTATTCTTTTCCAAGTACAGGAGCTAGTCACGGTAAGGTACTATCATTATCAAAATATGCGTGTCTGAATACCAGAGTGAATGTTTACGTTTAAGTCTGAGAACTGTTTGTCTGTTTGTTACTCTTTCAGTCTTTGTGCTCTGCCTCTGGTAAACAGTTTTAAGTTTTTTCACGTAGTCGTGTATCATGATGTATTAGTAAGAGTGCTCAATACTGTATAGTGCTTCCATGTATTGGCAGCGTTGCAATTTTTAGTTCATTGTATACGGTTTCTTTTTCGTTTAAACATTGAAAAATAGATGTGTAAGCTACAACGCAGGTACAGACGTGCAGTGATGGAAAGAAAACCATTAACTTTCTTTAAAGTCCTTAAAACCCCTTGTTGTCGTTGATTCTCGTTGCTACGAGAAAATCCGAAATGATTATTACTTTTACATTCATTATTTCTTACTTTAGATGATTCCCAAAGCTTTGACGACAATTTCGACACTATACGCGTGCATGCACCAGACCTAAAAGACTGTAATTCGGAGAAATCGTGCCTGCAGATGAAAGGACCACAGTAGCCGCTACTGAAGAGTTACGACC